GAGCTCCTAAAAAGCCTTGTGTTAGGTAGAGATAAGAATATACATATAAAACTTACATAATCCACTCCCCTGGGCGATGTGGGATGTTACAACATTGGGCTATGTAGTCGGCCCAAACCCAAAACCTAATCCCCTAACCTAGCCTAACCCAAGCCCCATTTCTATTAACCCAAGCCTTGTGGCCCAAAACCCAAACCCTTTGAACCTAGGGCCTTTGGCCCACTAAACCCTTTAACCTAAACCTAACCCTAAGCCCAACCCGATGGAATATTCCATGGAAAAATACCCGGGACATTTCTTAGGGTAATTCGACGTCCTGAATCCGTTTCCAACATCCGTTTTCCCAAATTCAACTGTTATAATAGAGATTTATTAATTGGACCCTTTATGTGCTTAGGGGTAATTATTTGTGGCGTCTCCGTCTTTGCTAGTTTACGTGGCTCTTCAGCGGTGAAGTATCTATTAGTGGACCCCTTATAAAATGCATGTTTTAATAGTAGAAATGCATATTCATTATATTTTATATTTATAAGTCTTATGTATTCCTTGTTTTCATCATTTGCACTCAAAAATGGCTTTCGTCACCATCGGGTGTCAGCCAGCATGTGGCTATCCTGATATTCGACGAAATATCTGGATCGGGGCATGTCATTTTTGAGGCCTGGGGCAACATCAAAAAATGTGCCCTCACTTTATATAAAAAAAATTATTTGTTTTCACACGTAAGACATTGATAAAATTATACTTAGAAAATCACTTCAAACTTAATAATTTAGAAACACGAAAAAAATATTTTATTTTGTATCGTGAGAATGAAACAAAAAAACTCTGAGTTTACAAGTAGATAGATATGAGTTTTGTTTTCCATATGAACTTTCAAAGTGTTTTTGTATAAATCATGAGGTGTTTTTTCTTATTTACTAACCTTGTTAATATGGGATTAAAAAAGTAATGATGTTTTTGAGTCTTTAATTGATATGTATAAGTAATAAATGGGTACTAAATTAGATTTTTTGATGACACGTCATATGATTTGCAATTTGGTCTAAAAATTTGGTTAACACATTACTCTTTATTGAAGCTTAGACTTGAATTGGAACAAATGTTTAAAAATAACAACCCACATAACTACTAGTTACTAATTAAAAATAAATTAACAACCAAACAAAAATTCGTAAAAATTGAAAAGAATAAACATGCACTTAGCATTTCGAACTTAGGACCTCTCATTAATTTTAAACAAAAAAAACCATTGATTCTAATTAAACTTCTTAATCATTTAGCCAATTTTTTTTTATATTTATACTCTTATGAAAAGAAATTTGTAAAAATTAAAAGGTAAATAAAGCACACATGATGTTTTGAACCCAAGACCTCCTCATTAATTTCAAACAACAAAACCACTAGTTCTAGTTAAATTTCATTGTCATTGAACCAACTTTTATAAATTTATACTCTTATGAAAACATATATAAATATACCGCCATAATAATTTTGGTGCCACCAAGTTTTTTGGACCCCGAACGGTCACCCTGGCAGCACTGGGCCTAATCACAAATGGGAACCCCATATTTGCCACGTCATCACTTAACGGTTAACTTAACATATTTTTTAACAGTTGTATGAAATTGAAATAAAATGATAAGTAAATGTATGAAATTGAAATGTTTTAAAGATGTTGTAAGGAATTGAAATTGACCATAAACCTGAGGGGGTAAAATATAATTTACCCTAAAAAAAGACTCTATTCCACACAACACGTTCTGAATTCGATTCCTGAAACTGGTGAATCGCATAATGATGGCTATGAGGAGGCTGAAAGACTCTATTTATCTATTTATTGAGAGTATAGAATGATAATAAAAGTTGAATCGTCATTAAAATATGTTATGTTGAAGAAGGTTGATGGTCCACCATAAAACTAAATGACGATATGAAAAGTAGCCAAACTCGTTATAATTGTTTATCTATGAAAGAAAGTAGCTCAAATGCGACTCCTTTCTGCCATGAAACTCCTTCTTTCTGCCATTCAACATATGTTATTTCTATATCTTCATACGTACTCCAACTTAATGTCTAATTTATGTATGAATGCAATTAGGGTTTCCATCATCCAAGTTGCAATTGGGACAAAAAGTATTGTGCTTAATCTACTTGTATTTGTTTTGATTGCAAGAAAAGTACGATCCATTATGTAAAGATACAGAAAGCCCACAGAGAAATTAAGCCGATCTGTATATGCTTTTGCAATTTTGCAGGACTCGTCATAAAATTTCTTTTTCCACAAAAAGAAGAGATACCAATTTTTTTTAATAAATAATAGTATCCACAATAAGAGGCTGGGGAACCGGAGTGAGCTAAACCTTACAATGAGTTTGTCATAATAATGTGGTTCAGCTTCGCATTTGGTGAGAATCAAACCTAAGACATTTCACGTACAAATGAAGAGAAATACAATTAAACCGTAGTACTAAATAACTAAAACAAAATGTTTTTTAAAAAAAAAAAAAACTCATAAAACATAATAAAAACACAAGCAAATCAGATTTAAGAAAAGTGAACAAAAGGGATTAACTTCTACGGTATGATGATATTCCTCTTTCCTTGTAAGTAAGAGGTCTTAGGTTCAATTCTCGTAAAAAACACATTATTACTAGCTCATTGTAAGACTAAACCCACCCCCTCCCGCTTAGTATAGATAATATCGTTTGTTAAAAAAAAATTAACTTAATAATTAAATAAATAGATTAAGTTGAAGTTGGAAAAAGGGCAGGGAATAGAAGCATTCTGAGGCATGATTTCTTGGCTTTTTGAAGTGGGAAAGATTCTAAACCAACCAGGAAAGAAATGTAGGGTTGTGAAATATAACATGCATGGGACCCACAAGAATCAAAATTATGTATCCAAAATTCCAAATTCATCCAAGTTGGCCACAAACCTAATCAAGAGTCAAATTTGGTTTATGGTATAGATGGTCCTACTCTAAGACTTACATGGCAAAATCATGTGTCAAAAATGCCTTCCCCATTTTCCTCTAATTATCCATTGTGTCTATTTCTATGCCTCCTTGTCATGGAAAATTTATATTGTTTTTTTATTGACGAGGGAGGGAATTCGAACTTGAATTTTCTTTCATTGTTAAAAAATATGTATGTACTACGAAGTTAAAGATTAGTTACAAATAATTCAGGATACACTTTTAAGTTATTGTTTTTACCACGTTGGTATAACAATCATTTAAAAATGTTTTACGATTTTATTTTATTTTATCTTCTCAATTTAAGATTCACTCACGAATTACTTGAAATAGTAAAGAAACTTGTTTAGGTACGGTAAAGTAGTATACTTATATTTTTACTTTGATCAATGATTCTGATAATGAGCTATGTATGCATCAATCATGGACGATACTTCTTTCTAATAATTTCGTTAAATAGTACTAATGGGTGCATATTTTCATATACTTTTATCATATGTTTCATTTGAATTTTGTATACATGAATGGGTTAAATGCAATAAATTCTATTGTTTTATTTATAGGCATTCAATATTGGAGTTACAAGAAAAAAAAGTGGAAAATGAGCTTTTTGGGTGTCTAGAGTAATTTCAGTGGAGCAAAAGGCTAATTAACTGCACCAAGACATATGCATTACAACAACAAGATGAAACCGAGCGGTTTTGGAATCAAATAGACATGGGAATACCATTCAATGAATTTTAGGAGAGAACTTAATTACTAGTTTTATTACTTCCGTTTATTTTTTTCATTTCTTAAATAAGGACATAAAGTCCATTAGGATTAGTAATTAGTAGGCTTTTAATTGCCTTTAAGCACTTGCTTGCCGATTGTTTTAGATAAGGAGATCCTTCTCCTTATGATAAGGGGGTCGGCCACCAAAAAAACCACAAAGAACAATTCACATAGGGGTTGCGGCAAGGAAGGGCAAAGAGGAAGAGTTACATTGAACTTTTTCTTTGCTAGGGCTACGATGTAGCCTGATTATGAATACTTAATTGTCTCGTGATATTGTTATTATCAAGTTTTTCTTCCTTATTGAGTATCTTTTGCTATTTGTAATACGCTTGATTTTTATTTAGATGTTTGATCACCATCTAGGTTTAGATTAAGTTGATTTGATGCAAGTTAGAGTAAATGTCATACTTAACTTGAGTTTAGCTTCTTGCAATTGATACACCTATTTGCATATGCCATACAATTAGAGTTTATGTAATTTTCCAACGATTTCCATAAGGGTTCTTACCTGTTTAAATTCATCTAGATGTCATAAAGGGTTAACATGTAAGGATATTTTTGATGCAACCAGATACCATGCCCGTTGAATAATTTAGGGAAAATCAATCATCGATATTATTGGAGAACTACTTGAGCATAACATATTAAGAGAATTAAGTAGAATTGATTTCGGTGAATTCGGATGTCCTAGGTCTTATTTTCTTATGTCTCAATTTATAATGCATTTTATTTTCAAGCTTTATTAATTTTAAGTTTAATTCAAAATATCATATATTTTCCATTAAAGTTTCTCCACTATAATTTGTTTCAATTTAGTTAGTAAAATTTTTAGAATCAATTCTATCTCTGTGGAACGATATATGTGCTTCAATACTATACTATTATCTAATTCGTATGCTTGCGAGCACTAAAATTTAAGACTTAATGAGATCAATTTTACTTATCTAATTTTCCTAACAAGTACCTACATCAAAAGAAACTCTTGTGGAAAACTTTGTATAGGCACCATACCCAATTGATGTGGCTCTCTTATCAGGTGTGTCGGACGGATGACGTGACCCAACAGTCGGACCTTCGAATTTCTCCTACATTGCAGACACAGACACATACGATGATATATTATATGTCACGCAAGTGGAATTGAGTTTTATTTACAGTCGAATGGAGTTGAGTTAGCCCAATGGGTTTGTTTTGGGCCATTGGCCAATTGCGACCGTCAGCCATAGGTCCGGGGTCTGGGATTAGCTTCGGAAAGCCGTAGGTGTCCCGAGCCTCTCAAGATATATTTACTATTGTACCCTTCCCTCTGTCCCTCCATTTCCCTCCTTATTCAATTTCCAATACGTAACGATCGACGACGGCGTTTCTCCCTCCATCAATCTCAGTGTCCCACAGTCTCACAAGCAATGAAATTCTAGAGAGAGAAAGAGAGAGGAGAGAGATATTGAGAGAGAAGTTAGGGTTTCAGCTCGGGTTTCACGATGGAAGGTCTCATCATTCTCGATACGGACAACGGCGGCGCCGGAGGTAAAAATTTCTCAGAATTTGATTTTCTTTAGGTCTTGAAACTCGATCTTCTACTATTGTTTTTGTTTATTCATGAATCAGTTTTTGATTTTGTGGTATGAATCCATTTCTTGATTTAGAATTAAATAAATTAATGAATAAATTAATGTTTGAGGGTTTACGATTTGGGACGAAATGAAATTACGAACTCTGGTGCTGTTTGGGTGGGATTCATAGGACTAGGGTTTGCTGAAGTTCTTAAAATCTCGTTATTGCTAGCTATCAAGGTTTTCTCGAGTAAAATTTGTGTAGGATAAGTGCAAATATGTTGGATTTTGAGAGGCACAAGCACAACTAGTTTCAAGCTCTGGTTAGTTGCTGACAAATGTAGGGAAAGAGGGGAATTTTTATTTCTGACCGGTGTAGCTATTCGATTCAGTCCGCGGGAGCTTTCCATTATCTGGAAATTTTTGTGGACATCTGCTTTGTTGTGATGGTAGGCTTGGTAGCCATTTAGTTATTGGGATTTTTGGGTTAGCTTTTGCTGAAAATGCCAGAAGGTTTGGTGTGAATGCCAGATAACAAGGCAAAAGGTGAGAAAATTGCTAAGGGGTTGTCGATTGGAAGTAACTCACGGAAGAGGCTTGCTGATATTAGCAACTTGCAGCAGCAGCGACCGAAACCATCGATTCAACAGGTGAAGCAGCAATTTGATTCAGATACAAATAAAGAGTATATTGACAATCTTCAGAAGGTACATTCTCGGTTGTATCTCTCTTAATCTCATATGGCTAAGTATGTTGATGATGCGGTCGGTTTAGCTAATTTTGGGTTTGTTGAACCTGTTCACAGGAAAACAGGACATTGATGAAACTTCTTACTGACAGAAAGTATCCTTTTGGGCCATCTATTTTCCTCATTGTGTGTTTCTCTCATTGATGTTCCTAATCTGCTTCAGCATGGCTTGCTTTTTCGGTTTTCTTAATTCTATTTGGTAGCAAAATCATAGAATTGAGCAGAGTAGAGATACAGAACTTGAGAATCAATCTGCAGAAAGTACAACAACAGAATTTACAACTCGCCCAAGCAAATAGCCAGATCTTAGGGGTACTTTTTTACATGTTTTAGTTGTTGATTATTCCAATCTTCCACGATACCTGGTAATTTCATCAACTAATATAAAATCGACTTTCTAATTCAATTTTGCAGGAACTCAATTTAGGTAAAGATAGGGTATGTTAAGTTTCGACTGGTGAAGTCAGAGTAGTGTGTGCTTTCACTTTCTATTTTATATTCAAGTGAAGAAGCATGAACTAACAGCATTATGCTTTTACTTTTAGCTAAAGGCACTTCAACATGAAATTGGGTGCAAAAATGGTTTGCTCAAAGTGAGAAAACTGGAGGCTGAGGTGAGTTTAACTAATTAAGACTTTAACCTGTTTTGTAAGGTTATAGACTTTTTTGTTGAACTGTAAACCCTGTGTTCCTAGGAGAAACCCAAAAGAGTAACGTGCCAAAGTACAGAAAATCAGGTAGTTAGCACATTCCTTTCTTGTTTCTGAATTAAACTTTGAAGGAGTGATCTGATTTGTTGACCTCCTGTATTCTTTACAAATTTCCTTTCACTATCCACAGGTAGAAGGTTTAACTAAGTGTTTTGAAGCGGGGGAGTCCTTGCAAGCAGACAAGAAGGATGGTCCTTGTAATACCCAAAGGGATCGACATCTAAAAAATCCACGTAAATGTTAACTTGACAACTCATTGTATTTCTGATATCTTGTTTCTGTGCTAACAATCTTGAGATATAATTTGCATGCAGTTGTGGCTTCTCATACTGTTGAAGCAGTCGAAGTTAAAGAGAAGGCTGATAATAAAAGGTTTGTTTGTATATGCTTGATTGCTTAATGCATACATGTTTTCGGGTTTTACTTTATTCACCTCTCCCAGACCCTGCGTAAAGCGGGAGCCTTGTGCACTGGGTACGACCTTTTTACATGTGCTCTGTGGTTTCCTCATAGAGGCTTGAGAAGACAGTCTGCAAGGTTTAAAACTGAAGAACGCGAAGCAACGGAAGAAATGCTGGAGACCAATGGTTGCAAAATTCCCGTCCTTCCTCTTTGCAATAATATGGTTCATGAAAGTGAGACGACATTTTCATCAGTGGAAAAAGAGGCTCCTACTATTGAAGCAGTCCAAGCTAACAAGAAGGCTTACCACAAAAGGTTTGTTCGTGTATGTTTGATTGTTTTGTGAAGTACATGGTTTCAGTAGGTTTTCATATTACTTACAGATGCTTTATGGATTCTTAATAGGCGTTTTACAAGGCAGTCTGCAAAGTTAAAAACTGAAGAACAGGAAGCCACTGAAGAAATGTTTGAGACCAATGGTGACAAAATTCCTCTCTCTCTTCTACGTGACAACGTGGTTCATGCAAGTGAGACGATATGTCCATTAGGGGGAAAAGACGATACTACAAGTGCAGCAGTCCAAGCTAAAGAGAAGGCTTACAACAATAGGTTTGTTTATTTATGCTTGATTGCTTTGAGCAAGTACATGATTTCATTAGGTTTTCACATTGCTAACAGATTCTTTATGGTTACTTAATAGGCGTTTTACAAGGCAGTCTGCAAAGTTAAAAACCGAAGTACAGGAAGCACCTGAAGGGTTTGGGACCAATGGTGAAAAGTTTCACGTCTCTCATCTATGTCATAATGTGGTTCATGGAAGTGCTCCGACATGCTCAGTGTTGGAAACAGAGGATCCTATTACTGAAGCAGTCCAAGCCAAAGAGAAGGCTGACAACAAAAGGTTTGTTTGTGTATTTTTGATTGCTTTAAGGATGTACATGTTTTCAGTCGGCTTTAACTTTATTTACAGATTCTTTATGGTTTCCTGATGGGAGTTTGACTAGGCAATCTGCAAGGTTTAAAACTGAAGAATTGTTTGAGACCAACGAAGACACGGTCCATGTCTATCCTCTAAGTGACGATGTGGTTCATGAAAGTGGTTCAACATGTTCTTCGGTGAAAAAGGAGGATGAAGGATACACTGCCCCGAGATCTGAAGGCCAGGAATGTCGAAGATCATCTGCAAGGCCACTGCGGCGGCGAGCAACTCAGGCGATTAAGTCATACAAGGAAACTCCAGTTAATGTGAAGATGCGCAGAGAAAATTGAGTCAGTTGATGCTTAGAAGATTAACTACATTGTTGTGCCTTTTGGTATTAACTAATTGTTTTGTAAAATTACTCTCGGTTCAGGAAACATGCCTTTAACTTTGTAAAGTTTAACGCTAATCTAGTTTCCGTTAATATAAGCAGCAGATGATGGATTAAAATGCACAAACTTAACCTGAAATGTGCAATGGGGCTCGTAGTTCAAGCAGTTAAGAGCATACTTTGCATCCGAGGTTCTAAGTTCGACTCCTCCTCCCTACTATTGTATCCAAAACTCAAGCTTCTCTCTCTCTCTCTCTCTCTCTCTCTCTCTCTCTCTCTCTCAAGGTATTGAGATCATTGAAAGTATGATTTTTGTCGATTTTTTATTCCCTTGCAGTAAAATATTGTTCTTACTTCTTACCAGTCATCTAATTAATCACAGGAGCTTATGATTTTTTTCCTTCTGGTTTTTTTTTTTTTTTTTTTGGTATTGGCTTTTTAGCTAAAATGGTTTTGAGATTTGCATAACTCTTCACTTTGTTCCTTGAGATTCGAAATCAATAAAAGTTGTCATTGAGTTTATCCACCATCAATTATTTTAGTCATTCCGTGAAAAATTATGTTAAATAAGAAGGACAAATGTATCCTCAACTTAATAAACAATGTGCCAAAATGATTTGATAGAAATTGAATGTATTTTTGTCATTTTATATTTACTTAATAGAGATTTTTCACGGAAAAACCAAAATGATTGATGGGTGGACAAATTCAGGAACAACTTCTATCAATTTCAAATCTCAAGAACCAAAGATAGAAGTTATGCTAATATCTGGAAAAAAAATCTTTCGTATATAACCTAGATTAATCTTGAATAAATAAATGACTAGCCCATATCACATCTTCACATGCAAAAGAGGAGACAAAAGGGGTCGATTCTTTCTTTCTTTCTTTCATCGTGATCAAATCACCCCTTTACAACGCCAAGCCGCGTTCTTGCATGAACAAAACAGGGAAAAGGAAAGCCTAAGCAAATGATCCAAGTTGAGGAAAAAGCTTGTTTTGTAGAGTCTTGGACAACAAACAAATATGCTTTAAACTTGGAATTGTGAGTATCCTTTGACTAAGACATATATGCATATTTTAGTTGGACCATAGAAAGTTTTCACATCTCATCTCATGCTAGTTTTTTTTTTGTATATAATTATCATGGATACTCAGTATTACGGTTTGGTGGTATTCCTCTTTATTTGTGAGTCAGATGTCTTAGGTTTGAATCTCATGGATGACGAATTCGATACCAAATTATGTTGCCCATTATGTGGTTTAGCCGAACTTTCCCATTCGCTTAGTGTAAAATATATTGTTCTACTAAAAAAAAAAATCATGTATTGTTATTAACAAAGCAAAGCAAAACAAAACAAAGAAAAAAGAATTGAATATTATTTTAAGTGTTGCTAACAATCCTACGCCTCAAATTCAATATAGGAAGTGGTCGAGACTCAAATTTGTACCCACTGAAACATAATATTTAGGAAACTGTATAAGGAAAATGTGCGTTAGCAATCGACAAGAAGTTTGACACGGAAATGATCAATCAACACGATCGGCAACCTTAAATTCAATTTCGTCTTTCATAGGCAAGATTCTTAGTTCACGTTTTTTAATTTGCATGGTATATGTAAAGAAACATGTGAGACATTTCACTTGCAATGCTTCGTGTCCATCGTGCCAATTTCCCAACGGTAAAAAGAATTTATAATTGTCCTATATTTCTCAAAAGTGCATTCATTATGGTGCTATCCATACACCCATTGACGGATGCAAGTAGGATCAAGGTGGTCTTGAGATTAAAAAAATATACATGTGAGAATATTCTGAGGATTATTCAAATGTTTGGACATGTCATTTTTGTGCCTATTAAATGTTTGATGTAATGCATACTAGGCATTTCTTGACAGGTTGTGTCGACAACAATCGACAAATATTACTCATCAGTTTCTTTCGGCATGTGCCGCTATCTGTTGTCATGTGTGCAAAATAGTTTGGTTGACAACAACAAGCCCACCAAGCGTTCGACGAACCTTAGTGAATAAGCTAATTCTTTTTTGCGCACTTTGAGCTTTGTTCCTATCTAAAAAACTTGTCTTTAACATTGGGACCCCTAAGGTTCAAATTCTGAATCTGCCACTACATAAACCAATATCACACCTCTCTCAATTCAACCATCAGATCGAATGAATTGAAGAAGATCAATATACGAAATTAACAATTATGTGTGCGAGGTAAAAAGATCTGTTTGAATAGTACCATTCTATTTAATATTTTTATGACGTGTCGCATTCTTATTGCACCACACAAAAGAGCCCACATAAGTTTTTCATATATGCTTTGCATGTGTGTGCATGTGAATATAGAGCCATAAAAAATGACAAATTGGAGAAGGTGGACTCATCATGGCATGTAAGATGTAGGAGGACCCACGCGCAAAGCTATGGTTGGACTGATCTTCCAATACGACGAGCTCACGAAATCTGAAAACAAAGGATCGAATAGGAGGAGGATTCTATCTTTTCAAAATTTTGGGATAAATTTGTTACCCTAAAGAGGGTCCTCAAGGACCCTACCATTATCTCCTCTGCCATTTTTTCGAACGTTACTTTTGGTGCAGTTCACTTATCTCAGTCATGGATATGAACAGGAGATCTCCATGCAGACATTGTCACATGTGGTTGGAGGAAAAATATTCGTTCTAATTCTACGACACACCATAACATCATACATGATGCCATTGTTGTTTTCAATTTTGAGTTTATCGAAGTTTTAATTTTTTTTTTTACAACTAGAAGGAATATCAATGGCATCATGTAGAAGGAATATCACTAATCAATGATGTACACCAGCATATTGAAAATCTCTCCATTCTTAACAATTTTACATGCAAAAAGTAATATCACTAATTAAATTGTACTGCTAGTGACATCTAGGTTTTATTAATGAGTAATAAAATCCATTCATTTATTTTAAAAAATTATTGTGTGGTACGTGAACATGTATTTGTTCCTACATAGAATTTGCAATGTTATCGTACTATATAATAATTGTTCATTCATCAGCTGCAATATTTTTTTTTTTTAAGTAATTTTCTAATTCATGCAATTATCCGCAAATCACACATCCTAATCCATCAAGATTCAGTGGCTTTACAGCCGCAATATCTTAGTGCGGTCACTATTGTCAATATTACTAGTTTCAAAATTTTAACTCTAAGGATTTGGTCTAGTACAAAACGAGCAAGGTTTGAAATCCCAACTCAAGTTCAAACTTCCAAATATGTATTTTTTGAGATTATCTGTTATGGTTTGACGTACTATGTTAATAGATGCTAAAAATACGTTGTCATCTTATGTGATAGTCTGCCTTCAATGGTGGAATATTTTCACATTCAATCTATTATATATAAGGGATACTTTAGATGCGGTCCCTAATCCTTAACATTCTTTGATTAGAGCCTTAATGGTATTCAAAGTTTGATCAAAGTCCCTTGACTTTGTATACCTCATTATATTACTATTAATATTTATATTTTTATAGTTTTGACATTAATTGTTTGATATTTTATGAAATTTATAATCCTATAAATTTAAAATCCCTCATTATAATACTATTAGTGTAACATCTCACATTGCCCAGGGGAGTGGATCCTGTAAGCCTTATATGTATATTCTCATCTTTACCTAGCACAAGGCCTTTTGGGAGCTCATTGACTTCGGGTTCCATCGGAACTCTGAAGCTAAGCGAGTTTGCACGAGAGCAATCCCATGATGGGTGACCCACTGGGAAGTTCTCGTGTGAGTTCCTAGAACAAAACTGTGAGGGCGTGGTTGGGGCCCAAAGCGGACAATATCACGCTAGGGTGGAGTCGAGCCTGGGATATGGTGGGGGCTCAGGCTGGGATGTGACAATTTGGTATCAGAGCCAATCCCTACTCGAAAGTGTGCCGACATGGACGTCAGGCCCCTAAGGGGGGTGGATTGTAACATCTCACATTGCCCAGGGGAGTGGATCATGTAAGCCTTATATGTATATTCTCATCTCTACCTAGCATGAAGCCTTTTGGGAGCTCACTGGCTTTGGGTTCTATCGGAACTCTGAAGTTAAGCGAATTTGTACGAGAGCAATCCTAGGATGGGTGACCCACTGGGAAGTTTTCGTGTGAGTTCCCAGAAACAAATTCGTGAGGACGTGGTTGGGGCCTAAAGCGGACAATATCACGTTAAGGTAGAGTCGAGCCTGAGATGTGGTGGGGGCCTAGACCGGGATGTGACAATTAGAAACGGTTACAATAAAAAAATTCAAACATTTTCATTGAATAAATGGATAAAAACTATGTAAAAATAAGAAATAATAAATGGCAAAAGAATGTATCCATAGTGTTAAAAAATTGGTACATTTCACATATGTACATTAATAAGAAGAATGGGTACATTATAAATAAATTAGGGTACATATAAAAGATTAAAAAGTTATGAGTACAAATGAATTTTTAAAAAATATAGGCCCTAAAAGAAATTAATACATGGGTACAAAATAAAACTAAAAAGAAAATACTGCAAATTTTAAAAAAATGTTACAAATTAAAAGTCGGTACAAACTAAAAATATAAATATATGATACAAAGTTTAGGCATAAAACATAGATATATCATATGTAATTTTTCTATCATTGATTAAATATACAATGTCACGTGACGGTATACACATGGGTACAAACACAAATAAAACTTTAAAAAATATGGGCACAAAAAAAAAACTAATATATGGGTACAAATTAAAAATGAAAAGAAAATTGATACAATTTAAAAAATATTTGCAAATTAAAAATAGGTATAAACTAAAAATAAAAATATATGATAAAAAATTTAGCCATAAATATACTAATTGTAACATTTTTAACACTAAAGGATTATATTTTAAAATAAAAATATTTTATTATTCAAATAATTAATGATGTTATTAATACCCAAAGACCTTGATCAAAAATTAAAAATGAATAGGATTTTAATCAATGAAGAACAAAAAGAATGATGTGAACCTAATTTCTCCTAGAACACAAAAGATGAATAGTGTTGGTGTCATAATGCTTTACCAAAGATAATTGGACAAAAATGCCCTCAAAACAAAAAACTTCAAAAGCATCTCAAAATAATGCATCAAATAAGACAAGGACATTTTCATCATTTTAATAGTTTCTATTTCTAATAATTAATGATTTTGTGGTTTTTTTTAATTTTTAAATTAGTATCTC